CTTGATGTAAGTTACTACCACTGATGTGTACTGTTACCGATGATAGGACTATTTATTGATGAAGCAGATGAACCCCACATGAAGCAGAAGCCAACGAGACGGAGATCAGTACGGAAGAAGATACGTCCCGTAAAATTAAGAGACTTTGTTGAATTGTGATTTTGTGTTTGTAATTCTGTACAGTTAATTAAGTTATTGTTAATTGTTATTGGTTTATTATATGTGACTATTGTTCGGGACGAACAATATTAAGGAGGGGCAGTGTTGCGTCAGCGAGTCACATGACTAGTGTGACGCCACGTTTCTAGAACTATCCTGTACCTTGGCGAATGCTCTAGCGTTTACTAGATATAGGGTAGTCTGGTATATAAAAGAGGGTGACAACGTGACGAAGAACAATGTGTGTGTAGGTAGTGAGTAATTGAACTGCAGTCAGAAGTATTGTTGACGTTTGTTGATATAGCATTTGTTATAGAGCGACTGTTGAAAATAAGTGTATCGTAAAGTTGTATTCGGAAAGAATAAACCAGTTTTATTAAGTAAGGACTTGTGTCGCTAAAGTTCCGTCGGAACGAAGTTACGGAAAATCAATTAACTAAGAAACGGAGACGTAACAGTATATTTTGACTAAAAAAGAGCTATCCTCGTGTGGTATGTGAAACATAACAGGTGTTTAAGATAGAAATAAATACGAAACCCATTCTATCACACTCTATACAAACAAGAAAACAGTACGGAAGAAGATACGTCCCGTAAAATTAAGAGACTTTGTTGAATTGTAATTTTGTGTTTGTAATTCTGTACATTTAATTAAGTTATTGTTAATTGTTATTGGTTTATTGTATGTGGCTATTGTTCGGGACGAACAATACTAAGGAGGGGGCAGTGTTGCGTCAGCGAGATCACGTGACTATTGGCACGCCCCCTTTTTTCTAGAAGTATCTTGTTCCTTTGTGAATGCCCTAGCATTTACTAGGTATATGTAGCCTAGTGACAAATGGTAAATTGAATGATAGATTGGGCTTTATATGTTTTACAGTATCATAGTCAGTTTGTCTACTGAATAATTCATATATAATGAGTCAACTTTGTTGTACCAGCCAGACTGTTCAACCTGCACAACATGAAGTCAATAGGAAAAGTTAACCTCTGCTGTTCAAAAGACTAACAAAAAAAAAGTAAAGAGGTAGTACTTTGAGATAAGCATTTTGTATATAATTCAATAATGCACCTTCAAATGGGTAAAGTGCATTTTTTATGATGCATTTTTTTAGATGTTTGAAAATCAAGAACATTTTCCAGTAGAATTATGACCACTTTTTCAATTTGAAATACCACAGAATGTGCCAGAACACATCATTACTTAGTATTCTGGTCTTTCACTTCTTTTTTCTCTATACATGTACAGGTACTAGAGCATTTAATAGGGCTTAAGCCTTGACCACTGATGTGCTTGCAGAGATCAGGAGAGTGGTTACTATACTGTGAGGTCATTGACTTTCCAGGAATCAGCATAAGAAATACTGTGTGTAATGTGATGTGATACAAAATTCAAACATTAATATGTGTACAACTCTCTTAAGTGTGGGTCTTACCTTATTGGTGTGTTCTGGTGGTTTATCAGTGATTAGGGAATAAACTAAAAGCTTTTAGATGTATAGAAATATACTGTCTTTAAAATTAACATTTTTTGTTTGTAATTAGTAACCAGCAGTAGGATAAGTTGTTTTATTTTTAAAATGCTAGTAGTTTTCACAATAAATAATCTACTTTATAGGTTTCGTTTGTTATCAGCTCCCAGCAGTAGGATAATTTGTCTTTTATCTTTGTAAACATAAACAATTTTGATTGTGAAATCTATTTTAAATCTGTAAAATATCTTCTGCTTTGTTATAAACTTAGAATAGGAGTCTGTTTTAAAAATATGTGTCAGCAATTTAATATTTAAAATATCCAAAGTGATATAAATGATTTTATATTTGTGTATATTTAACACGAGCAATAGTATTAAATTGCAAGTATAACAAAGCATTTATACTAGAACAAAGCCTTTCATGCTGCTTGATGAAAAGTTATGTTCAGAATCTTTCATTTTTTCTTTTTTTAGGTGCATTGATTGGTCTTTTTTTAAAGCTGATTTCTAGTCAACACCTAGGGAACTGGCAGGTATGAATAGTTACCTAAAAAAGCTACTTGCTCAGATATATTACTTATGAGGATTATAAAACTACTGTTAAACAATAGCTTTTGTAATATTGCTGTTTCATCATCATGTATGTTTTCTCTGTTACTGAGATAAATTATGATGTTAGAAAACAGTTTGTCATTTCTGAATTTTATTCTTGTAGAAAGAGGAAGCCTTTAATCCTACGGCCTTTTTTCTTATTTTGTTACCACCTATCATATACGAATCTGGTTATAACTTACACAAGGTAAGTTGAATTATATTTCAGTACTATCTAACCAACAGTTGCATGAAAAACATTTATATAATGTAAATCAAATGTTGGCTTTGTAAATTACAATTTTTTGTATAAACATGCATTAATGCAATATGTTTCTCAGTTGCTGTTATATCATGAACTGTGATAATAGGGCATAATAGGGATTGCAAGGAATTACACAAACCCTAATAGAATGTTTGGGCAAAAAGCACCTTAAACAGTAAAGATTCAGTTAACAACACTTTAAAACCTTTACTGTTGAATTCTTAGGCTGTACACATAAAAATGTACAAAAAAGTGCATATGTTAGACTTACAAGGAAAATAAAATTCACTCAAAATGACCCATTTATAATTTTTCTGATTATTATTCTCTTGCCAGTCTACAACAAAAACAGCTTGGTATTTTCTACCCAAACCTTTTGTTGCTAAAAAACATCATAAGTTTAGTATAAATGATGTTATCATTACCCCTTAAAGTTAGATTTCTTACAAATATATGGTGTTACTTTAACTTTTTTGCTATGGGCAGGTCAAAGGGCATATGTCATGATATTTTAGAGAGCTATTTTCAAATTTTTATTAATTAGCTTTGCTATTACTTATGTCAAAGGGATTCACATCAAAATGAAGATTATATTTCAAAATTTAATATTATATATATGTTTTAATTTTTTAATTCAAAAGGAAATATAAAGTAAAAATTGATAAATATTATTTTTTGTGTGTCACATAACACTTCCTGTTGTGTTTTTGTTCAGTTTATAATTATGCCTATCATACAACGTGTGCAGTAGTTAACAAATTAGAATCTCAAATTGGAGGTATTGACAAGTTATAATTAAAAATAAGAACCTCCTACTTTTGCTGAGATATAAGTATATTTAGCCAATCTAGTAGTTTGGCTTTTCCTACTACTCCAGTCTTTTAAAACCTCTTGTCTAGTCCCACCTACTTTTATTTTTCTAAGAGTTTACAATCAATAGAAAGAGCAGTTACTTGTGTACATAAGTCTTATACCTGTTTGTAAATAGCTTGAAGGAGAAAATCATAATTTTACCTAAACTGTTGAAGTGTGATGACTAAGTTGCTGCTCTGAAGAGAAGCAGGATTTTTTAAAACTCACATAAAGCTTGTTTAGACACCCAAATAAATTACAGGTGTTTTGTGTGCACTAATATGGTAAATTGATATATTTTTTTATTATTTTATATGAATATTTGAAGCATAAAAATTAATAGCTCTACACCCTCCATTCGGAAGAATAAACGAGGCTTAGCATGTGCGAAGCTCGAGTAGAGAGTCTTGTAACCACCGTAAATACTCAAACTCTTTGTTTTTTGAAGTATATTTTTTTATTCTTGTAGGTTTTAAGAAAAATAACTAAAGTTTGAGCATATATGAATAAGTTTTTTGAAAGAGAAGTAGGATTTTACAACCATGTGCACCAGTAAGATCTTTGTTCACCTATACAGTATACTGCTAAATTTCTAACATCCCAGTAGGATTACCAATGTTCCAAGAATTGTTTATTTTATCAGCACTGAACCATATAATAAACGTTTTGACAGATTTAAAGTGCAGTCTTATTGCTTTGAAGAATACTTGTTGTAAAACATTTTAAGCTACGTACATATGCTGATAAGTTCCACATCCTGTTGTCAGCATAAATGTTTTCACAGATTCTAAGTGCAGTGTGATTACTAAAGTTAACTTTCTTAGTAAACACTGTAAGATGTATGATCTGATACATTAGGCATCCTGTTCTCGGAATAGGGGTCAAGTCAGCTATCCCTTCTCTTGTGCTTTGTTGCTTTCGAAGGTATCATATTATGGTGTCACTAAAACAGTCCACTGACACAATCAGTGGTTTATTGCTTCATTTTCAGTGGATTTCTTCTTCAGTTGTAGACAGTAAAATACTCATATAAAATAAATGTGAAATGCTTAGCAATTGAAACTCTCAAGAAAAGTACTTTAAAATCTTATGAATAATAATCAACAAAACAGGGCAAAGCTGCTCTTTTTTTTCTGACTTTACAACTTTTCATTATACTTTGATGATTTGTCTACTGGCTGAAGAATAAAATGTACTGTTAGGGTAGAGGTAATAACAGATGAAATATAAAGTTTTACTATAAAAAAGTTTCATATTTACTAAGGAGGTTTTAGTGATTATGAAAATGAAGGTTGAGATATTTGAGACAATGAGGATTATTTTTAATCTTTACATACAAATCACTTTATTCTTGGAGTAGTGAAAAACAATATTCGATTCATTCACGGACAAATTGTTAGCAAAAGTACTTCATAAAAAAAACTGATTTTTTGTGTGTAAATGAAATTTAATGTATACTAAAGACTGCCAAAATTTCTGAAAGTACAATTAATCTATTAAAAGTTATAATATTAAAACTATATACTAGTAAAAGTGGTCACGTGGTCCCTGGGACCGAGCCCCTGTTGAGAGAGTTAAAAAGCTTACATACAGGGTGAAACAGGAATTATCAGCCAATAGTAGATGAACATTGGATGATTGTAATATGTAGATGATGAATGTTTTGTACACTACAATCAGTTTCTTTAAAGAGTCAACCCCTATATTACTTGTGAAGTTAAAGAGGAAAATAAAATCAGTACACATGATATTAAATTTTATGACATGCATTCATAGACTAATTACTTTAAAAGACACAAAGGTTTGTTTAAACTGATGTTTTACACATATATATATATATATTTTATTTGAAAAGTCTGTTCTTCTACTGGTAAAATTTTGTGTGTGCTTACTGGGGGTTGTGTCTCAGTCTAAGCTTATATTTACCTATTGCTATGCATTTTATACAGGGAATTTAGTTATGCAGAAACTATAAATGCTCACTATATTCTCAAAAAAATCTCCATGACAACCTCCAGCTGCAACTTAACATTTTACATATTAAACTAATGCGATCAGATAGTCAATAGCTACAGCAAATCATCATGAACCGTATCAGCTAGCTACTAGCTATGGTTATTATCATTACAATGTATAAAGTTAGCTACTATATTGAGTAATCCTTTGCCCATAGTTGAACATAAAAAAGGCCAACAAACAAGATAAAGAGAAATTGGAAATTTAAAAACCTGTAAGTAGAGATTGTAAAAAAAAGTAAGCTAACAAGGCTGGAGGTACTGTAGACATTACTTACTCAAACTACAAATCCCTATTTTGACTCCTTCAAATGTAATTCTTGGTGATGGCATGGAGCCAAAATAGGGGTATGTAGTTTGAGTAAGTAATGTCTACAGTACCTCCAACCTTGTTTAATTACTTTCTTATTTCTCATTTGCAGGTTTTTAAAATTCCCAATTTTTTATGTTTGTTTTCTATATATAAATAAAACATATCATACTAGGAAAAATAAATTCTGAATAATGAAAGTATTGCAAATATGTTTAATTATACTTAGTATCCAACAAGTCTAGAACTTATAATGGAAAGCTTTGTAGGGCTATATTTTTAAGTATAAAAACGTAATAGTTTTTCAGTAAGTGTGAACAGAAGGATATATTCTTCTCACTTAATACTGGTTTTAGTACATTCGTATGTCTGTGAAATGAAATATTGTACATCTTCCACTACTCTTTGTTGTGCCAGTTTGTTAACTTTTTTGTTTTTCTGTCGAGCTCTTTCTTCCTGTCTTAAGTCTCCACCATATGTCATTTTTATATGTACATCAATCTCACGAGAAGTTTTTCTACTCCTCATGTCTTGTTCCCTCTATACATGCATACGTACATTCAGTCACATATGCTTTTTTTTCTTTGTGTATACTGGATGTTGTGACAATGTTTTTAGTCTTCACTGGAAATCAGACCGTAAAGTTTATTTTCTTTAACCTTACATGCTTGTATGTAAAAAAGGTATCCCATACACTTAAAAATCAAAAAAGTATACACAGCTAAAAACAGAATTTTCTTAGCTGTTTATACCTCTTTTTAACCTTACATGTTGTTGTATTTTTTGCCTTTTTGGTTTAAATGACTTATTCAAATAAATCCCTGCATCATTTCCTCACAGGTGTCTCCCAGTGCTTCACAATGAGTTATGTTCTAGTGAGAGGTTGAAAAATCATGTTGGGTATTATTTTTATAAAATGTTTACTGGTTTTAGAGTTCTTAGAGGTTTACTGTTATTTATTTTTTATTTGAAAAGTTTAGTTGTAGAACAAAAAAACTCTACAAAAATAAACTTAGGCTGTTTTACTTTAGGGTTGTTAACATGTTCAAAGCTAAAGTTTTAATTATATTCTGCCAAGTTTTGTGATAACTGTCTTTGCTGCTGGTGTTACGAACACAGATTTTTTTTGTCTGTTTCATGTGTCTCTTCATTCCTGAGAAATGCAATTTTTCTTGGATGGTGAGACCTGCTTTGGTTATTGGTGCTTTCACTGTATAGAATTTTACACTGAATTAAAACTTTAAATCTAATTAGCACGATAGGCAATGGCAAATATTAAAGTGACTTATTTCCTTATTTATTGAACATTATTGCTAAGTTTATCTTTTTCAAACAGTATAGATAAGTATCTTATTTGATAGTTTATGCCATGTTTTTTTATGGTTTGTAGCCATAAGTGGTGACTACTGCATTTGGCAAAATAAAGTATCAAAATAAATATGTGAAGGAATATCAATCAAAATGAAATTAATTTTGTGTATAAAATATAACTTTCTGTTCAACATAAAAAATTTAAATTATAAAATAAAAGGAAGGATTTTTAATGGGTTTTTAAATAGGAGCTCTCAACAAAATTTTGGAAATTTCAAAAAAAAAAAAAGCTACAAAAACTAAGTCAAATAATATCATTCTTAAGGTGAAACTAGATACTATTGAGTAAATTTTGTTGTAAGTTTCATGCAATTTCATGAAGTATTTCCACTATGAGAAATCAAGAAATATCAGTGACACTCCTCTTGTCTGAAAAGGGTTAATCTCATAAGACT